AAACTACCCGTCTGCTCAGCGAAAGGGAGTAGGATAACATACTTAGCATTCTTGATAGAAGCCGATAGTTGGAGATCAAACGAAGCGTTGTGCTGAGTAGCTTGCTTACCAATGCCAGCTCGCTGATTAAACCACTGAGCATAACAATCGTTGTATCGCACCTTCTTAACGGGCTTGGAGATGATAGCTTGAGGATTTTCCAAATGTACGAATGGGACATATAGACGAGAAGTAGTGAATGGCATGTAAGTACCATCAACAGTAGGCTCGAGTGCATTTACGACGGCGCCCCATGAAACACTGAATCCAGCTGATGCTGCAAGGACTCCAGCCATCGGATTACCCGTGCTTGAGGCAGATACCATCACCGGACACGTGTTTCCAGAGGAAAGTGTTGTACTTGTGAGCGACATTCCTTTCCCAGAATCTACAGCAACGACAGACGTTCCTTGATTGACTCGAAAACGCAGACGAATTTGAGGGTTAGCGATGAGATCGAGCTCTTTGAAGATAGGATGCAGATCAGTGAGCTTCACTTTTAGCATGTAGTTCCACGTGCCCATGATTCCAGCAGCCGTTGCAACACCAGCTACAAATGCACCACGTGCAGTCTGATTAGCGATATTAGTAGAAGCCGCGGCAGCACCCAGTGAAGGCCATGAGGAAGAGAAATCAGTGTTTGCATTTGGAGGGTTCGAAAGCAAACGCCTTACTAGACCATCATTGACGATCGAGGCACCACCAGAGGGTCCAGTAGTAGCGAACGCAGATGAGAACGCGGTGTTGTTAGAATAGCCATCGCCTGTTAAGGAGCTTGTAGCAGAACTATACAAAGCTGACTGAGCAGCATCAGGGTATAGGAAAGACTCAGCTCCATGCTTCTCAACGTACTGAGGACTGTAGCTCGTCTGAGCACGAATGTTATTCCAAAACAGCTTGTAATCAGCCATAGAGACGATGGTTTTACCATTAAGCTCCAGAGACATGGAGTCGATAACATTCCAGTTTCCACACTTTAGAGTAGCGCAGAAGCGATTGGCAGCAGCAGTTTGTGCAGTACTGCCATTCTTCATCGATACCTTGTATGGGAGCATGAGATAGGCATCACGGAGACAAGCAAATCCTTCACTTCCATTTAGCTGTGAGGTAGCATCAATTGTGATGACTCCATTCTGATACGAACCCTGATTCAAGTCGATAACAAAGGGTACTCGCTTGCCGGAGGATACTTTGACCTCCGGGTCGCTCTGAAGAGAGCTTTGGTATAAGTATTGATCTGATAGTTGTGTTTCAGACATGATTGAATCTATATCCTCTCTGATATAGGTTCTAACGAAAATAAAATAATGTCAAGCCTTATCAAACCGATAACAAGCGACCACGATCTTATAAAGCTTGCTACTCAGATTGGAGTACATCTGGACGCTATATACGAGTCGAATGAAATCTATAAAGCAATTTCTAAGAAAGGAACCTATTTGGTGTTGTTGAGGACTCCCGATCGTGATATAGGCCATTGGACATGTATCTATGACAATGAGTACTTCGACAGCATGGGCGAGGCGGCTCCTACCAAGTATGGAATAGGTAGATACAATCCAAAACAGTATCAAGGGACTTACGGAGACTATTGTGGAGTCTGGTGCATGCTCTGGTTGTATTGTAAGCAAAAGAAGAGGATGAGTATGCTTAACCAATTCAAAGACTTGAATTTGACTATACTTTAAATTAAATCAGAGTTTCTCGCAAAGTATATAATCATGATGTTCAAAGAACTCGCAGTTTCATCCGCCATTCCAGTAGCGAAGCTCAAGAGAGCATTCAAGACTGGCACCCTTTCATTGACCAAAGATGAGCTACAGGGTTCTGGAGCCACTCTCCATCTTCATCCCGAATCATATGCTAAAGCTATTCGAGCTCATAAATCTGGTAAAGGAACTCGATTAGCTATCACTCACAAAGAGATTGGCTATCCATTCAAGCACATGCAAGGTGGAGGCATGCACGGAGCCTCTATATGGGGAAAAATTTGGGGAGGAATTAAACAAGGTTTCAAGTTTGTTAAAGACTCGGGTATTCTATCTAAAGTCGTAGATGTAGCTGTTCCTGCTCTTGCAACGTATGCTGGACAACCAACCGCTGCAATTCCTGCGAGAGCTGCTATCCGCTCCATGACAGGAGTCGGTGTTTATGACAGTGATGATACGGCGGAGGGAGGTCGGATAACTGTTGCGGATGTAAAGAAGAGTGCTAAACGTGCTCTTGCTTACACAAAACGTAAGGGTATCCTTACAGATGCGGTCGATGCTGGTGAGAAATTTCTTCTGAGCAAGGCAACAAAACCGGAACATGGAGACCTGATTAGAACAATGCGTGGTGAAGTACGTCGTCGCTATGGAGTTGGAGTTGGAGT